CAGTACTAAAACTGCAATAGTTTTGCAGCGCAGCTGCAGTGCTGCAAAAAAGAAGACAATTTGGGGGCGCATGGAAACATTACATTTCTCGTGCAATAACGTTTCTAGGGTGGGGATGCTCGAAGTAAATAATTTTACTCGTGAGCTGGGGAGTCTACGGTGATATGTAGGATTTGGGGTTACTTGCATGTTGTTCGTAGGGAAAGCAGGAATGGGAAAGCAAACAGACCTACAGGGTTCAGGGTTCAGGGCTTAGGGAATGAAAAAGAACACGTCAACTACTTCATTACTGGGGATTACACAATGGCTCTAAACCCTAAACCCCTGAACCCCAAACCCTAAACCTTCTACAACGATGCATTTCTCGATTCCCGATTGCCCTAAAGCCTGAACCCTTGGCCCGCAACAAGACAAAATCGCCAACACCAACCCTGGAGCCCCAGCAACACCCTCTTACTGGGCATAAGGTTTTGGTTTAAGGTCTTGGCTTTAGGGAACTTACTGGGTGTAGGGTTTTGGTTAAGGGTTTAGTGGTTAGGGAACTTACTGGGTTTAGGGTTTAGGGTTTAGGGAACTTGCTTTTGGTCTAGAGTTTAGGGTTTAGGGAACTTATTGGGTCTAGGGTGTTGGTTTAGGGTTTAGGGAACTTACTGAGTTTAGGGTTTTGGCTGTTAGGGTCGGGAAGGGGAAATCACATGGAACAGCAAATGGACATGGGTTTTACAGGGATATATACCATATTTGGGGGAGTGCTTGCTGGTTGCTAACAGAGCATGGGTTTGTTTCAAAGGTCCATGGAAGCTACAATTTGGCTTAGGGTTAAGGATCGACTTGATACCTGTAGTAGCTCATATCAAACACTGCAGTTTCCATCATCTTTCCCTTCCTTCACTCAATACTGTGAACCTACGCGGGCTTCTCAAGCTCTACGTTAACTCTCTAAAGACTTATACGCCGTAGGGTCCTGAAATGTTGAATAAACTGGAACCTTGCAAGGGACCCTAAACCCTAAACCCTAAATCCTAAACCCTAAATCCCTAAACCCCTAAACCCCTAAACCCTAAATCCTAAACCCTAAACCCCTAAACCCTCATGCGCTCCTGGCGGGGGTGAATAAACTCGGCATCGAAGAAAGACAGGCCTTCCTGCTCGTTAATTTCCACCTTCCTCGCAGATCACAAGAGCAAAAGAATAGTAATCATTTCAATATCATTTCAATAATAATCGATAATGGTAGTAATAGCAAGAAGCAGAATTAGAGCCATGACAGTACAAATAACAGCAATAAGAAGAATAGTGGTAGCAATATAGCCATGATAGTCGTGATGATAATACCATGAATAGAAGCATTATGCAGCAATAATGATGAGAGCAGTTGGGGGTCGCTTTTGGGGACTTTGCGGCCGTATTTTAGCACTTATCAAAAGTCCTGCGAGGATTTTCCAGGACCCCATAATTGTCATAAATGAACAGCTTAAGAAACACAACCATCCAGATCAGATGGGTTAATGGTGTATGTAGGGCTTGACCCCATACCCCAAACCCGTTGTGGTTCAAGCTGTACCCTGGGTTTGGGGGATCCTTGTAGAAACCCTTGCGTCCCTCTGTCTTCTAATGTGCTCTCAACAGACATTTTGATGTAGGATGTATCCGAGCTTCTATGCGAGCTGGAGAGAGGAGCAACAGGACAAAACCGGAACCCATATTGCGGCTACATTGACAAAAAATTGAGGTTATGTGGGGAAACCAAGTCTGGAGACATCTTGCTCGCTGATGTAAACCTTCATTGTGGCGGCTTTGGTGCGCTCGACAGGTGAGCTATATTCTAAACTCCTTAAAGGGGTTTATATAGGGGATTATATAGGGGACTACTACGGGGGATATTGAGGGGGATACTAGGAGTTTAGACTATGGCTCAGGTAGGCTTGAAGGTTGTTAAGCTGCAGCCTGCTGAGGCTAGCAAATGCGTTAAGCAGTCCTGGGAGGATTGTTTAGGCCTTAGGGTTTGGGGTGTAAGGTTCAAACCCTAAACCCTCCTAAACCCTTAACCCTAAAACCCTTAACCCTTAACCCTGAAACCTTAAGTTCTAAAACCCTAAACCCTGGACCCTAAAACCTTAGGGCTGAATAGTACAGGGTTAGGCGCAACCTTGACAAGCGCGTAAGATCTGTGAGCCTTTACAGCCCTTAGGGTTTGGGGTTTAGGGTTTAGGGCCAGAAAGCATTCATTGAAGTCCGAGCCACTGGCCGGCACCACAATTGCAGCCCTCATTGGAGCACATGAACCTGGCTTGCCCTAAGGGTCCAAGAACCTAATAATCATATACTTACCCAAAACCGATACTATAACTACTATTAATGTTACCATAGCATTCATAAAGGGGGTGGCAGGTCCAAGTACCTAAACCCTAAACCCAAATTATTGGAGCACAGGAACTTGGCTTGGTTGAAGCGACTGCTTCGCTCAGCTTTGCTGTCTATGCACATGCCTGCGCCTCAGAAAAACCTGCAATGCCCCATCCGCCAGCCTTCTCAAGATTTCTCCAAGGGTCCAAGGACCCAACTAACAGGGATGTAGTGCCAAAAATACCATAACATTCCTGGTATTAATGGTATTTGGGCCCTAAAGCCCTAATATTTGGGTCCTTGGACCCTTAGGTTTCGAGGGCTAGTGGGAGTGTTTGGAGCTAAAACCTAGATGCCATGACGTAACCGTCTCCAAGCCCCTTCAAAACATGCCCAGGGTGCCGGCCAATGTAAACGCTTACGCGCACCTTCGTGCAGCTCGAGGCAAAATAGAAATCCAAGGCAGGGATGCAGATTTCGCCGAGCGGGCTGCTAATGTATAGCCCCTATATATGTATATATATATATATATCTCTCTCTCTCTCTCTGTATATATGTATATATATATATACCCCTATATAACCCTATATGACCCTATATACCCCTTTTAAGGGACCTAGTAGTTTCCATCTTCTTTTCCATTATCCCTATATAGCCCCCATATCCCAGTAAACCCTATTACATGTGGAAAAGTCTTGTAGTGCAGAACGTGTCTACATTATGGTTGCTTTATGGCATATTATAGTGAGACAACGGAAAAGAACATGGAAAATGCTATACTATAATGCCCATCTAATGCGACTGGAATGCCAGTTTCTGCAGCGGAAGGCTACCAAAACGAAATCAATATCAGGGAGTTCTGAGCTTTAAATGGCGTGCTGCGCAAACTAACTAGCCCCAACAAGTTCCGGCAGAAGCTGGTATGCTACATGTTTCACTATAAGGTTAGAAGTATGGGCCCCTAATATGGGCCCTTAGTCCTTTTTAGGGGCCTTTAAGGGTACATATAGGGTATATAGTCGGTATATAAGGATCCCAGGGTTAAGGGCCCATACCAAGGGCCCAAAGTTTCAACCTTAGATTCACAGCAGCGTGAGTTCTGAAACCATGTCTTGTAGAGGGTACCCGGGTATCCCTACTGAAAATTTGCTCATGGGACCCAACGGTAGTTACGTATCTATCTGAACATTGCGTGTATGTTATGGATATACATGTGTATATGTGTGTATGTATAGAGAGATATACATATGTATTTATATATATATATGTAGACAGTATATGTATAGATGTAATGTATACATCGTGGTTTCTGTAAGTATGGGGCCACATAGACTACTTATCCGAAACCGCTGATTGAAAAAGGGCACCTAGTTTTTGTACGTTTCCGCATAAAACCGGTTGGATACTTATACACTTGGGATCCTCTTCCAATCCAAGTCACGAACCTGAAGCTCAAGCTCTGACCGACGCCGCTTTTTCCAGTCCGCGAACCGCAAACTCTCCGTAAACCCTTTAAAGTGCTCACCGTAGCTGACGGCATGTTACACGACTTACACGACATCTCCCAAATACCGCAACTCCCAAAGATATCAGGTGAAGCAAGATCATCTCCAACACCTCCCTGAACACCAAGGATTTAGGGTTTTGACCCCTGAGCGACAAACCCTCCACATAACCACCACGCAGCCCCCCCAAATATAAGGTAGACCTAACTATGGCCCCTTGATCGGGTCTTTAGGGACCCCTAGTATAGACTGTTATTGGGTGGGGGCAGGGTTTATATAAAGTATGTAACAAGTATATCAGGACCCAAGGTCCCATAGATACAGCCCCACCTAGCAGTCCCAGGAGCGCGCTTCTCTACGAGCTTTTCCCGCACCAGACGTACAAGGCCTGGCAAAGCGAAGAAGTCAGCTTCTCGCTCAATCTGCTTCCTTGGAGTCAGGATGTAAGTTCAGGAACTGCAGGTTCCGTTTTTGGGCGTGTAGGCTGAGGAATTGGGCTGTATAGTTTTGAGGGTTCAGGGCATGTATTGGGGTCTAGCAAGTTGTACTGTTGAACAGGCTTCATGTAGGGCTTGGGGTTTGGATTGAAAGTTCTCTAAACCCTAAACCCCAATAACCCTCAACTTCCTCAACCCTATTAGATTTTTTGAGCCCTAAAACCGAAAAAAAAAACCCTAAACTCTGCAAGTCAGGAACTTCAGTGTGGGACACTCAGGCTGGACCCTGACCTTTTGAGATACGCTCTAAAAGGACTTTCATATCCACATATGGGTTGTCTGGGTTGCTGCTGCGGAACTCAAATTAAGTTTCCATTACGAGGAAACCCTATTATTCACTATCTGCCTGCATATGGGTCATCTAGGTTGCTGCTAAGGAACTTTAATTAAGTTGCTATAATAAGGAAAGCTACTATTTACTATCTGCTCATATTACGGTAACTTGGTTCTAGTCACTAGTTCCTTGACAGCAACCCAATTACGTATTGTGTCATTCTCCCTTACAGAAAATACGACCAGAAATCAGCAGTTACAGTAGCGCCTTACTGCAGCCCCTTTATGGACAGCTACTGGGAGGGGGAATGACCAGTTACACTGGCGACATATTGATATTCATGTTGGATCCCCCTGTTGGTTCCACCTTGAACCTTTAAGAGCCTTTGAGACAGGCTTTGGATGAGAAACGTATCATGCAACATTTTCCACGGGAAGTACACCTTGTATTCAGCTTCTTCTTGAGAAGGTGTTCGGAATAAGTCAGGATAGGCATATGTAGCGTTCACGGTTCCCTTGACCTCAAAATGTGGATCATAATGGTCTTGTGATTGTATTCAATTATAGCTGTGGGGAGCATTAACTTACCTGGTTTTGGGGTCCAGGTAAGGTTTACGGGTTGGCTGATGGTTAAGAGGAACCAAACACGTCTTCATGCCGAAAGCGCATGCAAAGCGTAGCTCAGCAAAACCTGAAATCTGGACCCCGAAGCGTTTGACCTGCAAACCCTTTTGGCCCTCAAAGCTTTCAACCCTAAACCCATTAACCCTTGACCAGCACGAATCCCCCTAAACCTTGAACCAGCGCGAATCCCTTTCAAGCTTGAAGTCCTCAACCCCCAGCCCCGGCGAAAACAGTGCAGTAAAAGAAGCAGCAGCCCCCGCGGCATAGTCGGCGGGATCTCCACCACACCACCACGCAGGTACTCCAAGATGTATCCTTTGCGAAGTGGGCTTATGCCGCTCGCGTGTAGTGCTCAGTCTTTGGGTCCTCTCTTCTAAAGCCTGGGATACACGACAGGTTTACAGGGCTTAGGGTATCGCAGGCTTTTTGTTACCTGCAGGATCTTCATGAAAATGCCTAGCACTCTAAACCAGCTCCCCTACCCGAAAAAAAAGAGAGCGAGAAGCGGAAAATTTCCCCATCCCGGTCGATGAACAGCGCACCATCCACAAGCTCCCCATAGCTGAAAGGGCCTGCTGAGGGTCTAGGGCTTATAGGCTAGGAACAAATTAAATTAGCCTGAGGGGGTTCTAGGGACACGGCAGGTCGAGTGAGAGAGGCGTAGAAGTATTTAGGAATCATATAGGGATTATATAGGAATCATATACGGATGATGGAAAAATGGAAACTACTATTTAGGGTTTAGGGAACCAGGCCTAGAGCTTGACTTAGGCGTTTGGCTCTCAGGAGTTTGCATGTGGGGGGCCAAGGGCATTTGTCTGGGTGATTCATGAACAATGTGGGACAATCTGTATGCGTAATCTGCATAACTAATCCTTGTGAAAATCAGCAATCCAACGCCTTTTGGATTCCGTAAGCCGTT